TTTTGTTTTTTGCTGAAGGGGGACTTCAGCCCCCCTTTGCCCCCCCCCCCCCCTGGATCCACCCTTACCTCCATATCAGGCCAGCCAGAAACATGGATGCTAGTATTTAACTAGAATACCTAGAGAACAATCCCTCATTTACTTTACAGAGTTCTATTAACATAGGTCTATTAAGTAGGCTTTTGGTTTCTCAATTATAAGAAAGAGAAAACACAGGAAGCCCATAAAAAGACCAAAACAATAAATGAAATTCACAGTGGGAGAGAGTTCCATGGATTGGATCTAGGGGGGTCCAGCCTTGACAAAAGCACAGTGAGCCCCTCACAAGAAAAGCACATGAATGTTATGCCTAGTAATTTTATCCTAGAATAAAAATCCTTAGGATCTGAGATCAATGTACTCCTCTGGGGGGTGGGGGGAGGGAAATAGGAGCTACTCATTCAGAACCACATGTGATATATATAATTATAGGCATCTGTATGATAATACCTATAAGGTGAAGTCCCAGTGCCTTTATCAAATCCCTCCAAGCATAGATTTCCTTCTCGTCATCAAAGTCTGTAAAATAGTCTGATGGGTTTCCCATCAGCTCAAATCCTGGTCTGAGCCCGTTGCTAAGCAACAACTTCAATGCCTTGTCCAGGTAGGTGAATGAGTACTCCCTTGTACCATCATGAGATATAGACATTGACATTAAGTCTAACAACCAATGAATACGGATTTGTTCARTGCCATTGTTGGGTACAGAGCCAATATAGACTATGTTCTGTGCAATATCATTGGTTGACATGAACTTGTAGAAGTCCTGATGGGGGTCTGGTGGGCAAAAACCAGTGCTTTTCCAGAAATGTTTCAATATGTTCACCTCCATACTGGCATTGATTCTAGCTGTGTACAATGTGATAGGAGTATTATTCACGCAGTCTTTTAAAGATAATGCCTTGCTTTCAATATAATAAAGTGTGAATAGAACAAGAACAAGGCAGACAGATCTTTGCCCAGCCATTGAAGCAATAGTACCTCCGATAGATTTGATTTTTAAAAAAATGCTTTTTCTCATGCTGGGTTTCCTTTGTGATTCAGACACAGGGTTCCCAACACATACAAGTACCAACTCGCAAATATTTACCCTTTTTTCTTTTACAATCAATTCTGCTTCTCTCAAAATATCTATCGTTAATACTTTTTGCTTTATTTTAAGCCAATCTTTTTTTATTCTTTAAGTGGATGGGCTGACTGGGCTTCCTGCGTCTAAAACTAGTTCTAGACTTCTAGCGTTCAGTCAAGTAACGCCTTGTTGTATTTGCATTTTGCAAGTCTTTTAATCTTTTCCAGTCAAAATGTCGAATGTCGATGTTTGTGCATTTGCACATGAAGGAAAATTCAAAGAAGTTTATGAAAGAATAGAAGCACAGCCTAATCTTGTTACAAAGAAAGATCAGGCAAGTACAAAAAGTTGTTTTTTATGTATTTTTTAGTGAAATTTTACTTTTAACGGCATGCCATTTAGTCTTTAGAAAACTACAGTACGAAATCTTTTCTCTCTGCAGTTGTATAGCCTCATTTATTTTGAAAGTTTTTCTTGAATTTCAATTCTAATTTTCTCTGTAAAATCGTTTTCAGAATGAAAGAATTGCTTTACACTGGGCTGCATCAGGTGGTCACACTGAACTAGTTTCCTACCTTCTGAAGAATGGATCTCCAGTGGACGACATTGATGATGTAAGCCGACGTATAAAAATTAAAAAGGGGTATAGGGGGTCAGAGGATAAAAAAAATTATAAGGTCCAATTCATGAAAGTACTATTAATATTTCAATACTTTTTTGTCATTAGTGTGGTTGGACTCCTTTGATGATAGCATCATCTGCAGGCAGGACAGAAATTGCAACTATTTTAATTGGACTTAATGCGAACGTTAATGCTTGCAACTTCAATGGTCAGACATGCCTTCATTATGCTGCATCTAGGAACAGATTTGAGGTGAGATATAGTTAAAAAGAGCTTTTTATGTGCTTTGTTTACAGAGCACATGAATAAAGTGACATATTAAGCACAATGGAAGCATGAAGAGAAGTGCAATTTTTAAGCTAGCCCTTTTCACACTTCTTGAGTGCTTTTGATGCTTCCTACAGTAAGTGCTTTGATGCTTTGATATATAGAAAGAAAGAAAGAAAGAGAGAAAGAGAGAAAGAAAGAAAGAAAGAAAGNAGAAAGAAAGAAAGAAAGAAAGAAAGAAAGAAAGAAAGAAAGAAAGAAAAATATCTAAGCTATATAATAACAAAAAATATAATTAAGATATAAATTTCATTCTTGTTCTTGAAGAGAGTTTTGACATTACTTGTGATAGTATAAATTATATTTCATTTTTAGATAGCAGAAAAATTGATTGAAAATGGAGCAAATGTAAATTCAAGAGACAAAACTAGTAATGCCACTCCTCTGCATAGAGCTGCTTCTCGGTGAGGACCATTTTGTTTAAGTGCACTTTACCCCTGATATGATACTTTCACTATTGATTCTCCAAAGTGAATAGTTGAGTGATGAAATATTTCTTCATTTGAATGTTGCACCTTTAAGTTATGAAAGTTTATACTTCCAATATGTTAAATATTAATGACTGTATTGTCATCCCAGGCTTTTGAGTGTAATTTGTTTTAACTCATAATACTAAATAATAGCCATTATGAGACACCAAATTTATGGTACACATTTTGGAAGCCTTAAGTATAATAACGGAAACTACTACGTATTTGTTTGAATTTGTTTGTGTATTTAATGCGAGACTAAGGCTGAGCAAAAGAGTACATGAAACTGGAGTATTTTTTCACCTTTTTATGGGTTTTCTGTGGTAGTGGTGTGAGGTACCCTGTAACAATCACCCTGCCCCCCCTTTTTTTAAATCCTGGATCCCCCTGATTACAGCAAATATGCTGAAAGATCTTCTTGCCTTCTGTGCAATCTGCATGTTTTTGTCATATTAAATTGTTCACTTTTGTTTTAATTTTTTCCCCCCAAATAGTGGTCATTCTAACATGGTCAAGTTACTGATAAATGCAGGCTGTGATATTCAAGCTGTAGATATTGAGGGAAACACTGCATTGTAAGTAACTTGAAAACATGGTCTCAAAAAAATTGTACTAAACTCTGGACTGATAAAAAATTAGGACGCAGCTAACTCACAGATTAAACCCTGAAACAACCTCTGGGCCGTCCAATGTCAGGGCATGGTTAACTCACAGATTGAACCCTGAAACAAACTCTGGCCATCCAAAGTCAGGGCATGGACAACTCACAGATTCAACCCTGACACAACCTCTGGACTGACCTAAGTTGGGATATGGTGAGGAGGGAGTAAAACCAGAGAACCCAGAAAAAACTATTGATTCAAGTGAGAGACCTAACAAACTCTACTCACATGTGATGCAGAGTATGAGAATCAAACCCAAGGCCCATTATTGAGTGCCAATTACCACACTTCATTTCTACCCATTTGATGTTAAAGATATATAGAGGGTAGATTTTGAAAGTTGGATGATAACTATGTTCATTTGAGAATGTTTGTAAAAAAATACATGAAATTTTTTTCTATGTTTTTCCCTGAACAGACACATGGCTTGTGAAGAAGAAAGGTCCCAAATAGCTGTCTTTTTAGTAGAACATGGGGCTGATATGACAATCAAAAACAAGGTAGGGATAGGGACTCAGGGGAATTTAAACCACACTCTATTCATCATCATGCTTTATCAGTCTTTTAAAGATAGAAGTTGGCTTCCTGTGGCAAACTGAGAAAAAATTACTTAAGATTGAAAAACACGTAGATTGAGTTTGGCTCTTGATTTGAGTTTTGTACACTTTGCAGCAAAAGAAAACAGCGGCAGAGCTGGCGAACAAGGGTTTGGGCCGACAGCTGATTCAATTGTCTGGGATGAGTGACAAGTAAGAAGGAAACATACTTTGAGTGTAAATATGAAGGAAAATGCAAGGATTTAAGGTACACTTGGTTCAACTTTGAAACAGCGTAGTCTGTTTTACAAAGATAAAAGGTGTTATATGAAATATATATGTATAACACTTGTCAATACATGGCGGGTTTGCCCACGATGTATGATGGGATTGACTGGTGAAACTCACCTGGTGCATGATGGAATTGACTGATGCATCTCAGGGTGGACTAGTGCATGATGAGATCGACCGGTGCATCTCAGGATGGAGTGGTGCATGATGAGAGATCTACCGGTGCATCTCAGAATGGAGTGGTGCATGATGAGAGATCGACCGGTGCATCTCAGAATGGAGTGGTGCATGATGGGATTGACCAGTGTATCTCAGGATGGACTGGAGCATGACGGGATTGTCAGATGCATTACCGGAATGCCACACATGGTCGTTGACTGAAAAGATAGAAGCGTCAACGTCGCAGTTTGTTATTAACGAAAGAAAAACATTCAAGGGAATTTCAATCTGATTGTGGAATTTCTGATCAATTTGTCAGAGATTGACAGCTTACTGAAAAACCTTGTGATTGATTTACTGACGTAAATAGTGCTTTAAAAGTTATCAATTTCGTCAGAGTTGTGATCGATTGCTTCACGAGAGATTTAAAGCTCTTAAAACTCTTAAGACATCGAGATTACGTCACGCTGTTTGTGATTACGTCATGAAGCATTCGAGACGTGTCGGCGTATATTTTAGCGTTTGAAGGCGCATTTTAGGAAAGCGTTTATGGTGTAGTAAATCTTCTCAGACGAAAGCAGATACTTCCAAGAAACGATGGGATGATATTCTGTGTACCTTGTTTGCTATTCTATGAAAAAAAGAAATAAATGTATTTCAAAGATAATCTGCTAACTATGCTTATTATGTAAATGACCTATCCGGCTTTCTACTTTTTATTCCTGTCCTGTGCTGAGCTCCCGCATTTTTTTTCCTTTTTTTTTTCTTTTCTTTTTTTTGCTTCTGATATAGAGAATTCTTTACGTGATGTCTGAGTGTACTCATTGTTTGAGCTAAAGATTATAGTTATGAACGATTTGTTGCTTCGTCTTTTTGAATACATCTGCTTTTTCCCCTGAAAGAAAAGAATATGGAAGCAAAAAGACAGAAAAGGAAGAAGTAAAAGAAGGAACAAGAAAAAAGGAAGAAGGCGGGAAAAGACAGATAGGAAAAAAAATAGGAAAGAAGAAAGAATGATAATATGGAAAGAGAGAACTGAGAAATTAATTAGGCAATAAGAAAGGAAAGAACAAACGCAAAAAAGGAAAGTAAGTAAGAAGGACAGAAAAATGGAAGGAAGAAAGGAAAGAAAGAAGAAAGAAAGAAAGAGAGA